GAAGGATATAGATGCTGACACAAAAAACCCAGCTAGAACCTTAAGGGTCCACAAATCTATCAAACTGAGGACAACTTGAAGCATCCAAACTGAAATCTTCAGGGTAAAACATTTATGTGATTCAGTGAGCACAGCCTTGAGCAATTGTGTCACCCCTGAACCCATTTGCGTTGGGCACTTCACACCTCTCAGAGAGGAGTGGTGGGATCTTCCTGTGGTTCCAACATGTGGAGATATGGGCACAATTATTTCCTGCCTAGCCCACAACCACAACTTCATCTCAGAAGCTGCAGAGTACAGTGTGATTAAAAGTGCTTCAGCCTCTTCTTTTAAGGCTGTTTTGCTTTGCATAATGAAATGATCATTTGCCCAGGCACTTGAACCTGACATTCCTACATTCCAGGTGAGTGTTCTGAAGTACAGACTTAGCACTCCTTTTCTTTCTCTCTGTAAAATAATGTTGAACTGTTCGCACTAAGAAGAAAAGATTTAAGAAATATTTATCCATGAAAGCCATATAGCCTACCAATTAAGTTATTTCCTTACAGACTGGGAGTCTTTTGTCCAGTATCTAAGTCTGCAAAAAAGTTCAGAACCAAAATGTCTTCCGTGACCACTCTGTTCACTGGCATGGTAGCTCACAAGCTGTTTCCCTTATTATGTGTAGACATCTAAGCATGTTTAACATTGCTGTCCCACATGGGCAAGTTAGATGGGATGGATCTCTGACTTCAAAAGTGTCAGGCTGGAGCACATTTGCACAAGCCAGCTGCAGATGTTTGGGCATCAAAGGAAAGTTTCCACAGTTTTTACCTATATCCAAATGTTAGCTGAGTTATGATTTTGTGAGTATCATGGGAGTCTGAATTATGGACTGGAACCTGAAACAATAAATTTTCCACATGAATTTAATGCAAAACTCTTCAGCTGTAGAGCTGGTTATTAAAATTGATATTGTCCCCCATTATAATAAGTTTGAAGGAATATCTGAGGTAGTTTAGTTCAACCTCCTTCTAAAAATAAGGCTAACTTCAAAGCCAGATCAGTTAATCAGGCTTGCACTGTCCATGCAGGTTCTGAAAATCTCCAAGGATGGAGAGCCCACAGCCTCCTTGGGCAATCTGTGTCGGTGCTTTACGTGCTCATTGTGAAAAATTTCTTCCTATGTCCAGCCTGAATTTCTCTTTTTGGAACCTTTCCTTTGCCTTCTTGTCCTTTCATTGTGCACCCCTGAATCTGGGCCCTTTTTCTATAGTGCTCTTTTAGGCAGTGGAAGACTGCAATAAATTATGGGACTGAGGCATATGGAATATTCAGAGAGGCTAAGGGAAGTGACTTGGCATAGCCAGGAAAGGAGAAGGCTGAAGGGAATTTCTCTTTGCAGCCTTCCATCTTAGTGGCTCTCCACTGAATTCCATTTTGCTTCATAACCTCACAGTCTCTACTATCTTCATCTATGCTTGTTGCAGTTGTATGTATAACAATTCAGACTGCCTTTCTTAATGATGTTTTCACTTCTTGTTCCCAGTTTTCAAAATAATTTGGTTTATGCTAAGTAATGCTAAGTAATTTGGTTTATGCTAAGTTTACCTATTGTAAAGCTAAAAAACCCTGAAGGTTTGTGAGTAGGAGTGGGACCCTGCCATGTTCCTTGCACTAGGACAGCTGTAATCAATCACTGCTTACTTCTTTCTTGATCCATTTGACTATGCTGGACACCATAAAGCAATATCGGACATGTTTGATTTATGCTTCCAGCATATGTCCAGAAATTCACATGAGTCACTGCCTGTTCCTTCTAGGGAACTTGCGCAATTTAATCTAATATGAAAAATGTCTTTTAAATCAGACAACACTTGTTTATTTGAAAGGTGACTCTATCCTTGTGAATGTCTGTGCAACATATCTGCAAACCAGTTCCTGAAATTTCATGGGTAAATTTTTCTTGTTTGTTGATTTTGTATATTGTCATTGTAATACTGCTTTTCATTACATTAGTAGCAAACTTTCCTTTTTATGGCTGCTTTCAAATGCATGTCTTTCCTAAAGGTCTTGATTTTTTAAATTCTTCCTTATGAAACTTCATATGGAAGTGTCATGACAAATTTACTGATTTTGACATGAAAGAAGGAGGGGGACATATTGTGAGTAAATCATATAGCTATACTACAGGCTGCATATTATGTAGCACTAAACAGGGTTTAGTTCAGGCTAATTTACCCACTCCACTGCCTCCATGCTACTGCAGCTGTTTTATCTGTTTATGTCTGCCTACTTTTAAGAAGGATGTGTGCACCTGTATACATAAGTATTATATACTATGATCAGATTAGGTGGGAACATGGATATATGCATCATGTTTTTCAGTATCCAGAATGCCAAGGGCTTTAACCAAGATCCATCACCTTCCCTTCCAAGAAGGGCAGAAATTACAAGTTACGGTGAATCATTTTCCAAGGCTCCGGCTCTGTTAAGTATTCCCAAACACCTACATTTCTGCCTAGTGCCTAGAAAACAAATCATGTAGCTTTCATAAACTGAGACCTAAGGTTCATGTATATTGTTGCCTATCTGTTTCTGCAAAATATGTAGATATGGGGAATTTAAACAGTCTTTATAGTGATTTAGAGCAATTCATTACTGCAGAAGCAGAAACCTGTGCTTCTGTGTCTCACAATATGAAAGCAAAGAGGTACAGTGTCCCATTTCTCTTCTAGCAGAAGGACTTCATGTTCTAGTTTTTCCACAGACAGTGTGAAGAGCAAGCTGTGCAATGTTATCTCTCCCCAACTAACTGGGAAGAATTGTTCAAGATAAAAATGTACTGCCAAATGCCATTTTCTCTTCGTTGTCCCAGTGTTCACAGCAAAGTGAAGCTTCCTTAGTTTCTAAGGGAGGTCATTGGTACTGTCTGCTATTTTGACAGAGGGCTTTCTTCTACTGTATCCCTTGAAGAGAACCTCAGAGTGCCTTGAAAACATCTGTGGATGCTTTATTTGCAACTTATGAGTATGCAGAAAGTACCCTCATCAATAGGTTTTAATTTATCCGGAGGTGGACTGTTCTCAGTCTCACTGTTCCATTTTTCATAAAGATAACTGGTTTATTAAAACAAACTGAAAAGGAGAATAAATTTCTGTCCTGTTTGCTAGATCACAGCTATGTGGTGACACATCTCAATACCAGTTTGTGCTCTAGAGTCCTTAGCGTTCAGTGTATTTTCTGTGAATGGGACAGTTGGGTTAAAATCTCTCTGGAAATGGTTGAATGCTGTTTCCCATATCTTTTTCTGTTCTCTGGGTTTTTTGCATTCACTTCTTTCTTCTTCTCCTGTGTTATAATGCCCAGGTGTAATTTCATAGTGTTTTCCACTCTGATGTATTCAGAAAGCTCCAGCTTTAGACTTTATGCTTCTATGAAAACTCTAGCTTATTTGTAACAAAGGTTACTTTCAATCCTTCCTGTGTGTGGATAAAATAAGCAGTAACACTTATGAATTCCAAAATCACAAAAATGAGGAGGGAAATATTTCTATTGTCCCCTGCATCCCTCCTTTTGTTTTAGTCCGAGGTTTCTTTATGAATTGTGTATTGATGTTGAACATCTGGAACTGGCAGTGTGATGACTAAATGGCTTGGTGCGGGGTTTTTGGTTTTTTGCAGAGGTGATAGTTTCAACTTTTGCTATAGAAACTAGAAGAGTTTCTGTCTGAGTGTTTAATAGTTTAGTAGTTGAAAAGAAAACAGTACCCCTGGGATGATCTGTGTTTTCAAGCAAGCCATTTATGGTTCTCAGTTACCAACACATTTATGTTAGTGTGAGTTCCAGGATGCAGACAATATTTGGACTATTGATTCCCAGATATAATATACTAACATCTCTCTACCATGAGTTGCTAGGGCTGCATTTTACTCATGGTCTGTAGCTTCTGAGACATTTCATTGTTCTTTTGACAAAGCTGAGAAATTAATTTGCACTCTTTCATAGTGCTGTGACTCCCATACTGCAGACTCCATAAGGCATCAACTTAATGGCCAATGCAAGTGCAGAGTGCAGCGGAGTATGTTAAATTATATGTTTACAAACATATTGAAACTTGAAAGTAGAGAAAACAGTTTATTTAGCCTTACAATAAATTTTAATAATAATAGAATAGCTTAGATTATCTTGTCTTAACCTGAAGGGTTTTTTCAATTTATAAAAGACTGAAACATAGTTGACAATGACATGGACACAAAAATACTATTTGCTATGTTTTATTTTCTACAATCTGGTTAAAAGTAGCATGCAAGTAATTGAATAAAAATACTTGTATATATGACTTATTTTGAAATAAAAATTATACCAGCAATGGATAAAAATCTTACCATGAAAGTTTAAATGAAAGTATGACAAGAAGAAGAGTAAACATTTTTTTAACCTGAAAAATGTTTGTTTCCTTGTTATCTTTCACATATTCCATTAATTTAATAATGTCATGGTCTCTGAAAACATATTTTCATACACTCTAAATTGTTCTTAGATTGTTAAATCATTTTTTTCCTTTGTAATTGATAACGATATGAAAAAGGTGTGAATAATTAAGAATGTTGGATTGGTTGGAGAGGAATCTTGTATTTACACAGGCTAGCCCATACTGCTTAGCACTCTGATGAAACCCACCTGACTTCCATGTAAGTAAGTCTGGCACCAGCTGGCATGTGTTGCAAGCATGGACATAGATTTGTATGAAGCTGAATTCTTTTCATCAACTTACCTAGCCAGATGAAGGCCTATTTTGCACCACATTTTGTCATTCTTGTGCTTTCTAAATACAACCATTTATAAAACCATGCACATGTTCCCTTAAGGTTGCCAAGTGCATGCTAAGTATTAACAAACAGAATGGATAATATGCAGACTGACACTTTTTTTAAGGCATATCCTAATTTTAAGGAGCTATCACGATGTAATTCCTGTAGTTACTGCCGCTAAAAAGGAACTGGATGTTGCCAGGTATCTCACTCCAGTGAAATCTCAGCAGCCACCCGAAGGCAGTTGTACATCTCCTGCGGCAGGTCAGCCCGAGTGAGATTGTTTCCATCCAGGCGCAAATGTGTAATCTTGGAATAGGTCATTGGCCCAACAACCTTACAGAAGCTGCTCAATGGGAACTCTGAAACAAAGGGAACACGAATAAGAGAAAGCACGAATAATTAGGACAAATAGGATAAAACCATTATTTTTCTGCGTTTTAAATTTTATTTGGAAATTGTGACCTTAAATTTGTTCTACTATTTTTCAATATTTTATGTGTCCACTGATGTAATTCCCCATGAGTTTACCGGAACTTGAGGGACTTGTGTTAGAAGTTTTTTCCATTAGTTGTGAGAGGTTCAGAATTTCAAGACTGAGTTTTTCAAGTGTTGTGTGTTCCCAGTACCCATTTAATTTTTAAGTCTTCAGTTATTATATAGAGGTCTCATCTGGCATTTAGAAAAAAAAAGAAAAAAATGAATGTCCAGTAAAACTGTAGATGCAGAGGGAGAAATCAACTGTGCTGGGTGCATTATGATGGAAGGGTAAAACCATGCTACAGAAGAAAGTAAAGGAAATAAAATGTTTCTGGAGAAATTAAAACCATGATACAGCCTTACACTTGAGAACAAGCAGTCCAATGGGTGTCTGTGTCAAATATTATTTTGGATATGTTATTTTGATTTACTGGTTTTGAAAAGAAATTTGGGGCTGGAGTTGGGGAGCAGTTCTACATTTAAATTGTATAGTAGAATGTTTCCAGAACAGCAGGATTAGAAGGTGAGTATAAATGAAAAAAAATTTATAAAAATATTTATATTTATTGTAATTTATATATCATGATATAGCCTTTATTCAGTTAAGTATTACTTAGTTCGCATAACACCAGACAAGTCTTGAATGGAAAACTGTCTCTTGTATCTTATGAGCAGTATTAACTGTGAGCTAGAAATTACATGAGGCAGATAAATTCTGTGCTCAGTATGCATAAACACACACATACCCATATTACGCATCTCTGTCGTGCAGAGAAGATCTATCCTCAAGAGAGAATGTATGTGAATAAACTTGATATCCCCTGCATAACACATGGTGTTCTGCAAAGGTGGTCCTTCATTCTCACTTCTCTTTCCTTTGAGCCAGACAGAGAATTAGTCTGTTGAAAAGCTCCATCACTATTAAAGAAGCAGCCTGAGAGGCTTGTTCTTCTTCGGGATATTGACATCAATTGAATTCACACAGAAAATATTTTAAAGGGACTACTTCAATGAACCCAATCACCAGTAAGCAGACAAAATTCATATCTTCAGTTGCTTTTATGTTGCAAAGGATTAGCTCACACAATTTCTGAGAAATCAAGGTAGTGTTCTCAAGATCAGATGTCATTTTAACGACCGATCATGGACTTTTCTTTTTGCATGACTATTTAACTCACCTAAGAAAATGTGATGACCTACATCATGTTGTAATACTAAAGGAAATGGAGGACATATCTTTCAAATCTCCACTTTGCCTTCAATTGGCTTCTTTCAGAACTGGCATTACAATAATCTGCTATCATTGATGAAACACAGCTTGTGTAAACTAAGCATAAATGTACATGCATCTGTACAGGCAGCTCCTTAAAGCATGAGAGTTTTTTGGACACAGAGATATGATGTTGAAGAATGGGTGAAGATTTGTGCATCTTTCACAAAATAAGTTGTTTTGAGTAGAAAGAAAGAAAATGTATTTCAAATGTTAGGTCTTCATCGCCAATTTGATTAAAGAAAAACATAGAATCAGAGAATCATAGAATCACAGAATGTTTTGGGTTGGAAGGGACCCCTACAGGTCATCTAGTCCAACCCCCCTGCAGTGAGCACGGACACCGCTAACTAGGTCAGGTTGCTCAGAGCCCCATCCAACCTGGCCTTGAATGTTTCCAGTAATGGGGCCTCCACTACCTCTCTGGGCAACTCCTTCCAGTGTTTCACCACCCTTGTTGTAAAGAATTTCTTCCTTATATCTAGTCTAAACCTACCCTGCTTTAGTTTAAAACTGTTCCCCCTTGTCCTGACACAGCTGGTGCTACTAAAAAGCTTGTCCTCATCTTTCCTATAGGCCCCCTTTAGGTAATGAAAGGCCGCAATCAGGTCTCCCCGCAGCCTTCTCTTCTCCAGGCTGAACAAGCCCAACTCCCTCAGCCTGTCCTCATAGGAGAGGTGGGCCAGCCCTTGGATCATTTTTGTGGCCCTCCTCTGGACCCGTTCCAACAGTTCCATGTCCTTCTTGTGCTGAGGGCTCCAGAGCTGGACGCAGTACTCTAGATGAGGTCTCACCAGAGCAGAGTAGAGGGGCAGAATCACCTCCCTTGACCTGCTGGCCATGATTCTCCTGATGCAGTCCAGAGCACGGTTGGCCTTCTGGGCTGCCAGCACACATTGCCAGCTCATGTCCAGCTTTTCGTCCATCAGTATCCCCAAGTCCCTCTCGGCAGTGCTGCTATCGATCCTTTCTTCCCCCAGCCTGTATGGATATCAGGGGTTGCTCTGACCCAGGTGCAGGACCTTGCACTTGGCCTTATTGAACCTCATGAGATTCACACAGGCCCACCTTTCCAACTTGTACAGGTCTCTTTAGATGACATCCCGTCCTTCTGATGTGTCAACCGCACCACTCAGCTTGGTGTCATCTGCCAATTTGCTGAGGGTACACTTGATCTCGCTGTCTATGTCATTGATGAATATATTAAAAATATATATAAATCAAGACAATTTCCTGGGCTTTGTATATTGTTCAGCCTTCTTTTAGGAGTGTAAAAGATAAAAAGCATTCTTAATGGCACATTTAGTGGGCAGTCCATATTGCAGTATAGTATAATTTTAAACCTGCAGACCAGTTCTGCTACTCTTTTCATTCAGAATGTACCAGTTGAAGTGAACTGCTGATCCTTGTGAGGTAGGATCATATTACTGGAGAGACGTTTATAGGATTAAATGTGTGGAATTTTGCTGAATGAAAACATAAGGTCCTGAGACTTTGAAGTGATTTCTTGAGCTGGCCTACAGGCTATACCATTAACTATTTATGTCCAGTTTTCTGCAGAGAGTTTGGGTATAATTTGTAAAGAATAAAATGAACATGAATTCTAATACAGATTTTTTTTCCCATTTTCTTGTCCTTCAGGAACAGCATGGTAAGTATATTTTTGTTGAAGGCAGACATTTAAAAACTTTCTAAATTTACTTTTTGCGTCTTTTTTCCATATTGTTCCTTTTGAGCATAAATACTGACATTTGGTTGTAAAACAAGGTATGCTTATACAAGCTGGGTAGATACTTAACTATTCAAAGGATGTAAACTTCATGCATGTAAACCACAAAATTTATCTGTGTTACCAAGATACTCAGCTGTGCTGACTATTTATGAGACTGAAACCACTTTAGAAGTGGATGCAGATCTAGTTGTTACAGAGTCAAGAGAACTCTGTCATGGACTTCAGTGGGATTTGGCTCCAATATTCAGTGCACACTGATTGACTCTGGGTATTAATTTTTTATACAGTTCATATAATTATCACTAGTTAGAAACATATTAAAAATGTTTGTTTTCTGATTGCAGTCTCCACTAGCAGAAAATAAGTGTGTCTTGTGAATGCACTTGATGTGCTCTTGCCTATGTGATCAGTATGGGAACTGCAATCAGTGAGACTAGAGCACTGTTCCATAAAATATGTCAGTGGCTTAATTCCTCCTTTATTACACTTATTAGTGTTGCAGGTGTTAAAATGTCTGGAATTTTGCCAGTAGTGTGGCATTCATATTTTCCCAACACAGAATTCTTGCATGAACCAGACACTGAGAGATAAGAAGGACTGGATGAAAAATGGATTTTTGTCTGAACAATTATTTTCTCACTAAAACTGTCTGTTACCATAAGAAATTCGGATATTCTAACAAACTACCTGAAAATATGAAATATCTGGGGGAAAAAAAAACAAACCTAAATAAAGAACAGGCCTCTCCTCTCCTCTCCAATGCTGATAGAGCAAAATGGGAGCATAGACACACTTATTTTTTAGACAGAATTAATTTTTTACTATATGCTAGTTCAGACTATATCCCTTCTACACCAGGAGTGTAAGCAGCCTTCATCTGAAAGGAAGATTAACTGTGCAAAGATTCCTTGTTCAGGTGTGCAATATAGTGGGCAATCCTAATGGGATCTGAAGTCCCATGGTCATCTTTGCTGGTCTGTGGTCCCACAGTAATCATATCTGAATCATTTCTGCACAGGTCATTGTAAAAAAATGCTTTGGGGATTGGTGGAGTGAGCCAGATAAAAGGCCATAAATCAACTCCATAGCTAACTCTGTTTAGAATAAGTACAGTTATGGCATAGGTACCGATTCAGCTGATGGACTAGAGCAGAGTATGTGGCCCCCTAAATGTCATCTGGAACATTTTCACATTCCCCTTTGTTATATTTCATTCACATGGTATCTTCTTGCTGGGGTTTCATGTGGAAACAACTCTTTTCTTAATCGTTTCCAAGTACAAATGAAAAATAGGGAAGTCCACCTTTGGACCCTCTATAGGTATCACCGAACCTCTTTGATTCCTGTACTTCTTTCCATCCTGCAGTTTCTTTTTGCCTTGAGCAGTTTGTAAAACAAGTGTGTGTATACATATATCTATATAAACCTAATGGCATCCTAAAGCATGGGAGCACTGTTGTTATTAAATCAGTGTTGTTATTAAACCAAAAAATCTACCCTTAAATAACTACTAATAAGAAATATTAAAAAAAAAAAAAGAAGTTTCAATTTAGAAGTTACAGTTTAGGTTTGAGATATGGATAAAGCAAAGGCTTTTATAAACCTTCCACAGTCCTATGCTAGCTTGGAGATGTACCCAGCATCAGGTACAGTAGATGGAGCATGCAGCTGATACCTAACTTCCATTCAGTATAATGCATGTTCTTCAATTGATTAGTTAAAGATCAGAGGAGTTACTCTGAACTTGTCTCATTCCAGTTTGTTATCTGCTTTGCCCGCTGCTCCTCACATCACAGAGGGAACTGTTGGAGCGGGTCCAGAGGAGGGCTACAAAAGTGATCCGGGGGCTGGAGCACCTGTCTTACAAGGACAGGCTGAGAGAGTTGGGGTTGTTCAGCCTGGAGAAGAGAAGGCTGCGGGGAGACCTGATTGTGGCCTTTCAGTACCTAAAGGGGGCCTATAGGAAAGATGGGGAAAATCTTTTTAGTAGGGCCAGC